TTCCTAATTAAAAAAGGAGAAATATAATAGACACAAATTAAAATACTTGGATAAGTTACCACTAAAAGGGATTTTCATATGCATCCAGAACTAACAACTTAAAAATTAATGAAAACCAAACTAGTAAAAAAGAATGCCCCACATTGAAAGTGAAAAAAAAAAAAAAAAAAAAAAAAGCCCAAATGAATATCCATCTAGCTACTAAACTAGTACTTCCACTAGCTTAGCTTTGAAGCAAGTGGCTCATGGCGAGGTGCCAGGCAAGCAAGCACGAGTGCGCCTTAGTTCGTACGAGGATTGAGTGTCATCATTCATTCGGTATGATAAAGAATGTTGATCAACGGCAGAAAAGCGGCCATTAATAGTGTCCACTAGTTGAAGACGGAACACATTGATAGTAACATGATGGTTGGAATCTTCATCATAATCGTAGCAGAAGACTTTGCGGCCGTAAAGAATAAAAAAGCGATGATTACCCAAACGAACCACATAGGTGGCGGTTTGGACCCGCATGAGACCAGGCGGTGGAGGCAGATTTTTGACTTGAGAACCACACATGAATCGGTTGTTGGAAGCATCAAAACCAAAAGAATAAAGAGGGAAATGGGAACCATCATCCCCTTGGTGTATGAATGCAAACCATGCACTTGGCTTTTTTCTTTGATACCAGTTTGTTAGAAATAGTGGGCTAGTTACACACACAACACTATATTATTTGAAAGAGAATAAAAATGGAGGAAAACACTTTTTATTTCACTTGATTGAAAATGAGTACAATGCATGGGTTTATATAGGCTTCAAAACATAAATGTAAATGAAAATTAACACCCCACTAACATATCATTTAGTAGGCAAAACTCCCACTAACCCACTAACATGACCATTTACTAGTTGTAACTCTCATGCCCCCCACCAACTCTAATAAAAAACTCACATAAATATAAAATACCAAATAAAAAACACCCATGACCTTCAAAGACATTTTAAAAATAAAATAAAGTTTAATTTCTAACACCCCACCTTAAACTTGATTTTTTTCAACTCCAAGCAATGGGAAAATTGTCATTAGTAGAGATGTTGAATTTGAAGAGGAAGCAACATGGGATTGGAACACTCCAAATGAAGATTACGATATTTTTCCAAATTCTGATGAAGAGTAAGAAAATGAAGGCATAGTGCAGCCCATTTCTCCACCAACATCACCTCTACCACCATCAATTCAAGATCAATCAACTCCACTAAAGTATTTCCTCCTCCTCCTTCAAAAAAAAAAAAAAAAAACAAACTTTGTTGGCTTTTTCTTTGATACCACTTTCTGATTTTACTCTGATACCACTTTTTTGGAAATAGTGGGTTATACAAGCAAATGCAACGATCTATATAATTTGAAAGAGAAATGGAGGAAGAAATATATTATTTTACTTATATCCATATTCTAAAATGACTAAAGTATGTGATTATATAAGCCTCACATATGTATGCATAACCATTACATTTAAAGGCCTAATTACACCCATTATTCCCACTAACATAACTATTAGTAGCATAACTCCCACTGACATAGTATTTAGGAGACTTAATTCTCATACTTCTTAGTCTTACGTAACCTTCTCCATTAAGACCATTTACTACCCCACTAACATAAAATGCACACATGCATCATCTATACCAAATACTTAAATATACTAATTACAACTAAAATTTTAAAATCAAGTTTATTTTCAACGGCACTATCTTCAAACTCAGCCCCACCAATGAAAGGCAAATAACTATCACCGCCAATATGAACGTCATAGGCGAGTTTTGACCATACATGTGTGATGGAATTAAAGATGAAAACATCTCCTGATAGTGTTGATACAAGGATGGAACGGTCAACAATTGCATGTGCTTCTATTTCAAATTCTCTAGATTCCTGGTCTGGAACAGGGGGAGACGGAAGCTGAGACCATAATTCCAATTGAGTATCATACGACTCGAAATCATGAAAGGAGAGATTATAACTCAACACATAAAATTTGCCATGGAGAGGACCGATTGCAAGAGGAAATTCCTTGCCAACTTGCATGGAAGATTCGGACTTGTGAACAAGGGAAGTGATGGTGGTGGTGGTGGTGGTGGTGGTGTCGTAAATATAGACATCCTTGCTTAATTTGTCGCTGCTTTCCCCATACCATTTACCTCCAATCATGAATATTTTTAGATCCCACAGAGAAAAACCCCATAAAGAATGGGTATTCTTCCTTGGACAAACTGAGAACCGGAGATTGTGTTGATGATGATGGTATTAGTGGAGAGGAAGAAGAAGAAGAAGCAGCTTCATCATCATCCACGGGGATCTTGTATATGTCGTACCTGAAGGGACTACCGCTGCTGACACACTCGCGGATCAAGTAAACAGCATGGACTTGGCTGGTGGAAGCCATCTCTTTCTGCATGTATGTTTGCTGAGGCTGACTTGCTTGCAACTGGTCCCAAAGAGAATTCTGGTATGTTTGAATGAATAATTCTGCTATTGTTGCACCACACATATATAATAGTTTAAACCTAATCCTATAAGGAAACTATCATACGAGAAGGTTTAGGATTAATACTATGATTATGAAACTAACAAACCTTATTGGAAACTACCAAGCACCCCAAATTACTTCCATGACCAGCAATAGCCCTTGCTAAGATATTATGGTTCCTGCGTCAGTCTGTTTGTGAATATTATATTAAAATATATGGGCTTTTATGCTACATAGGTCTGAGAAATGGGCTTGGGTTTACTAAAGTAATAGGGCCAATATGTTAGATTGGGCTGATTTGAGATGGAGCTTTCACTTGATTAAAATAAAATTTTTTGGACTTTCAACTCATATATATACTGATATATTTTCATGAGCTCAAAGTGTACTCTTATATTTCAAAATAAAATGTGGAGATTGTTATTACAAGTTTTGACAAAAGTTGGTGTGTGAGTGTTTCTTGTCAATAAATAATAATAATAATGAATTCTTTACAAAATCATTCATTTTTATTTTTAATTTCATAATTGTCGTTCTCATATAAAGTCTAAGACTCTAAATACAATTCATCCATTCATTTATTCTCTCTCTTCCGTGATATAGAAGACGAAGGAATTTGCATTTTTCTACCACGATTCGTAACCATTAACAGAGAAGGGAAATTGTTGTCTTAAAATTGTAATAACCAATTATTGTGTGGTGCAGGGATCCACTCAAGATATGAGTGGAGATGTTTAGGTTGGGAAATCTAAGTCAGCACCGAAAAATAAAATGAGTGTAATATAATTCACTAGGGTTGCTTTCCAAGACTGCATGATTTATGTGATTGAAATTTGTTGGCAACAACAATCAATTGGGTAGGGATGATGTTCGTCGACAAGATTCACAGCAACATATGGTAGGGTGGTCCAACTAATGTTGTTTTGGGATGCGTGTCTCAATATCTAAACTGACAAAGATTAAAAAGTAATAGAACTCCTACTTACATGACAAACAAGTCATTGTAGCTTTACAGACATAATAAACATAATAACAAATATGTAACTTTGTACTATCAATCTATGTTGTAACTTTCTTTACATTAGTCTTAAAAGTTCACATGATATGTCACATTGTTTTTGAATACTACTGTATTGATGGGATAATTCAACAATGTTGATACCTTTCTTATCTACTACCTATGAAATTTCTTAATCACTCCTTTAGCAGACTGTTTTTCTATCACCCTCGTCCTCTTCCTATCCAAGATATCTTATGCATAATGTTGTCCTTTCCAATTCATAAAAAATTTCAATATTTTGAACCCTAAATATATTAGATAGTATTGTTTGTAAATTAAGTGTCTACTTGAAATGGTTTTGGCTGTTTTTTTCTTAAAAAAAGAGTTGAGTCTTGGAATCCATCGGCTTATTCAAAACGCTCTTCTAAAAAAAACGAGAAATTGCTATTAAGTACTATGTGTGTAGGTGTGGTTTTCTAATTTATATTCAAACAGTATCCTAAACCACCATGTGCTTTTTGGTTGTTCCTTTAATCAGTTTTAACACAGCATTACCATGGGCAACCAGTACATATGAAATGAAACTGGGACCTAAATTAGCAATCATATTGTCCTACTATGTACATGGCACGTGGTCCTTTCCCCCTGTTATGGCCCTTCTTAAAGGCATTGTCGCAGTCACTTTTGTCGGCCAGAGCCGGCCAGTCTTCTCTCCTCCTTCCAATCAACCCCACTTCTGTTACTACCATGGTCTATTTTTTGTCTAGCTCAAACCTCAACAGCAAACAGGTACTTGAAAAGCTGCCTCAGGACATGTTAGTTACATAATGTACATGTTGGTTCTGATTTTCATCTGCATATCAATAAATATACATGTCAAGCATTTGACGGTCTTTCATGATCAGCCTTCAAGTTCCATGCATGTCACAAGTTAAAAATTGAAAATTCAGCTATATTGATGGACATACAATACCACTAAAACGAGGTTTTGGATGGCGGAGATCACCAAGGCAAATATGGCTCCATGAAACATCCACGTGTCAATACGTAACACAGAAGACGGTTTCACTCAAATTGATCGTATGATTTAGATGATGACTCCTTACAACTGCAATGATGATCCAATACTGTAAATGCAAGCAAGAGAAGATTTGTTTAAATGCAAGCAAGAGAAGATTTGTTTATGTGCTAATTGCATAAACTTTGCAGTACAGATTTGTCAAGGATGTCCTGTATTTCTTCTGCTATTTTTGACCAAGAATGTGTTGTTTATGCGACTATGCATATACCCTATTCTTGCAGACCTATCAATGGGATCTATCAACAGAAGAATCACAAGGGCCACACATCTGGGAACAAAGCTTCTTGTTGCCACTGATTTCTTTAGCCTGGGCATGGGGAGCTGTAATATGTTTTCTTTTTTAAAAAATAATTTCTAATATATAAATATAATGTATGAGAATAAGCAAGTAAACAATATGTTCATTCCATTAAAAAACAGAAACATAGCACAAAGCAAAATACTTGGATAAGTTACCACCAAAAGGGAATTTCCATAAGCATCCAGTACTTACAACTTAAAAAAGAAAACCAAGCTTCCAATTGAAGGGAATAGTGAAGCTTCACATATTGAAGTCAACTGCAGCAAGTAATTTACAAAAAAAATCCCCACACACTGAAAGTATCAGATTTTTCCAAGTTAGCTTCTTTTCCACTGCCAAAATGCCATCTACTACAATTCTATGGCGAAATCCTTTTTCATCGAGATATATTATATTTTTGAGGGTAGCCAAGTTGCTCAATCTCCCAGCTTAGCTTTGAAGCAACTCGTTCATGGCGAGGGACATACTCCTACATAACAAAAAAGTAATTATAAGTGTTGATGTTCGACCGTTTGCACTAGCTTCTGCACTTTAAGCATCAATATGAGAGAGAGAACAAAATTAAAAAAAAAAAAAAAAAAAAATTTACCTGTACATTTGAATGGTAAACCATTGATTAATGAATGTATATGTCTTAATACATTGTCATAAGAATGAGATTAATTCATTCAATTAATATTGCCATTGGACAATCTATATGAATCTTTTACAAGACAGTTTTGTTCATTTAAATGAAAAAGGAAATTATTTCCGGAGGTTTCAAATGTCCACTGACCTACCTACGGGTAGAAATCAATTGATTCGTCTTTCCAAATATTTCTGGGGCAGACAACAGTTACTATTTCAATGCAAGACAGGGATCACACTGTTTATAACAACTATCAGATACAATTTTTTTTTTTTTTTCATAAATGAGACAATTTATTTCTTTTTATTAGTTTGCAGCATATGTAAAAATTTAACAGAAAAAACATCTCTGGATATGAATTCTTTCTGAAAATACCTCCAATTTCTTCACTAACTCTCTCACTGTTGGTGCAGATACAATGATATGCCGTGCACTTGGACTAATGAAACCTTCTTCCACAGCTTTGTCAATAAATGACAGCAGTGAGTTGTAGTATCCATCCACATTCAGCAATCCCACCTGCAAAGGAAGAAAATAAATAAATAATGCATATGTATTAGCTTAAAATGGGATAATGCAGAGACTCTCTCACAAGCAGTTACAGCAGGGATCACCAACAATCCAATAGAATCTCAAACTGCAGAAATAAGGACTTACTGGTTTATCATGTATGCCAAGTTGAGCCCAGGTTATCACTTCAAGTAGCTCTTCAAGAGTCCCATAACCACCTGCATGTAATATCACAACAGTTTTCTTAGTTCCAAGATTATAAATAATTGATTTATTTGGTTTAAGTAAGAACTTCAATAGTTCTTTTGTCTTTCCTTCCCTTGCCAAATGCAATACAAAACTTGACAATACATGATCTTATATGCATTTTCTTTACATCCGAATGGATGCTATTCAGACCGACAAAGCTCAAGCTTGCTGGTCAGTCCAAAATTATTGACTAAACCCTCTAATTATTGAGGAGAACAGATGCATTCCATTGACAATTTCTAGATTAACATCAGAGGTTGCCACAACAGGAGTGGTGGTTGAGCACTTGTGGTCCAGCAAAAGAGACATAAAAGATGGAGGAGGACCTCTAGCTTTATAAAAGAAAATTAAAAGAAAGGAACATCTGAATATTTAAGGGAATATAGACATCTAATAGATAACACTCATGTGGTAAAGATTCTAGGATAAGGCAATAATAATCACTTCTTACTACAAAATATAGTAAACAAATTGGTTTAACGGTCACTCAGTATTATTAGACAGTCGGGGTAGAATTACAATAGTAATGAATTATTACAGCCTACTACCTTCCATTTGATGGTCATCATGGTCTCATGGCAGTCAACATGTTTGTTAAACAACCAGTTGGCACCAACCTCTTTTCATTTTGCAAAACGTGGTATTTATTGTCCACTTCATTAATTGTTACAACAGAGGTATAATCCTCTAGCAATCCATTCAGGTCATAATGTCCGTACTATAATGTCACGCCATTATGTAATTTGTGAGGCTCTGCACAGTTGCTTTAGCAGCATTATCAGCAACATATATATGTTATCAAAATATTACAGTTAAAACAGCAAATTATCACGATATTTTGACATACTTCCACGAGAAATTCAATTATACCCATTTGACAAGATCTATTCTGTAGGACTATATACGACAAAAATATTATAGGGACGTTTCCAATATGCCCTAATATTGTGATAACAACTTACAAATAGATCCAACATGTAACAATTATTAAGTTGCCTTTTTATCCCCTGATTTCTGGACAAGAAAATCATATAAGATCTCAACATGTATTATCAACCAAGCAAATGCTTTGCAATTGTGGGTTACCTGATCTTATAACAACACCCTTATAATATGCTTAGGAAAATGACATGAACTGAAAATCATTAAAGAACCACCTAAATAATATATGGACTTCTGTTCATGCAGGCATGGTTTCATTTCTCGTATGGAAAAGGTTTTATTCACAGGCAGTGTATCAAAAACAAACTCACAGCATAAGTTGGGGAAATACACAAACTTAATACATTTGATTGTCAACTTTAACAAGGATTAATACAAGGATTATAGTAATACAAACCAGAGGATTGACAAAACAAAAATAATTGTATTCTTTACATACGCACACCTTTTTCTTCTATCACAACTTCCATCAAACAAGTAGACTGCGGTTTTGTTAAGGAAGATGTCAAAGAAATTAACAAATCAGATAATATTCAGGGCATAGGTTCTGTGCAATTTGACCTAAAGGACCGTTAGTTCTCGCTTCTCAATTCTATATTACATTCTTTCAGTAGCAACTGAGAGATCAAGAAGAAACAAAATATGCGAAATGGTCAATAATGCAAATCATAGCTAGAAAAATAAAAGCAATCAAGATAATTTATTTTTCTGTTAATTTGCCTTAGAATTTTATGCAAATGTGAGAACATTTGTAGTGCTTATGCTGCTAACCTGGTAAGGCAATAAAAGCATCTGAGTGCTTAGCCATCTCTGCTTTTCTTTGATGCATATCTGCAACTGCTTTCACTTCCCCTACAGTCTCACCAGTTAACTGCAAAAGGGTTTCAAGAACCAGAAAGAGAAAAAAATATTAAAAAATTGAAATCGAGAGAGAGAGAGAGAGAGAGAGAGAGAGTGAATTTCTTGAGTGTTGTGCACTTGTACAGTGAAACAATAATGAGGCTTGCAGGAATGGAGGATTTAATCCAAAATCTTTGAAGTGAGCAATTCTAGAGCTAGTAGTTCATAGACCACAAGATTGTGTGATGCATATACAAAGAGAATTTTTATCTTGGGAAAAGCCAAGTAAGAAAAACACATAAGAGGTAAAATTTGAAAACCAAAACTATATACAAGTGATGAATTGCCAGCTACACAAATGGTACAAATGTACTATGGATGAGGCCAACAAGAACCAAGAAAGCAACAGAAGTTATAAGAACACCCTCCTTACTTGCTCTTCTCAAAAGAAAAGTTTTAAAATTTGTATAAAACCATGACCAGTAATTTAAAGGGAGGTAATATATAGACGGAAAAAAGAGAATTTGAGGAAGATGACAACTTGACAGAAGAACTAAACTGTGCCCACTGAAAAGAGAGCATAAAAATAGAGGATTAGTGGGTTTTCTTATTTATTAATTTAATGAAGAAAGGTTCAAGCCTTGTTTGGGTACAGCAGACATACCTCTCGAGGCATAAGCATCTTGGGAATAACTCTGCAGAGAGACAATAACATGACAAAAAATTAGTTGTGGTGTATAACTAAACACTAAACCAACAATTTCAAAAGAACCAACTCATTGATTTTGTTTCCTAATCACTTTGTTTCAAATCTATTTGAGAGTTCGGAGGACACCATTGAAGTGAAAGAAAAGAATCTCACCCAATAACATGCCGACCACCATCATGAACAGCTTGTGAAACCAATCCCATTAGGCCTATGCTACCACCTCCGTAGACCAGATCAATGTTCCTCGAGACCTTCAACAGAACAGAATCAAATCAGCTCAAAGAGTGTATATAAGCAACTATTTTTGAGCTGTGGTTATATGATAAAGTCATTTGAAGTAACTACACCCAATAGAGCACATTTAACCTCATTTAGATTGTAAAGATAAAAAATAAAAAAAGTAAAAATGGATTCTTCAGTACTCATTTAATAAATATGGTATTTTGCAATACAATTAGTTCATATGCTCTTATCTCATTTGAGGACGAGAAATGGACATAAAGAACAATAAAGAAGGGGAGGGAATATAAAACTAGGAAGATGAAATAAACTACCATACACGCGCGCGCGCACACATAATAGAAGAAGATTTGAATCATTTGATGCATACACGATGAAAATCATATATTTTATATGTCTAATATGGGAAAGTAATTTGAAGCTTTGAATGTAGCGTTTCACAATACATGCATACATAGAGAGATAGCAAGCAATCTGTTAAGTAGCAGAGCTACAAACAACATGAATGTCCCATTTGAAGGCATGAACTCAAGTTCTAGATTACAAAGCCCATGGTCCAACTTCCAAACGGATAAAGCTGAAGTTCGGATAAATTTCTATTGATTTAAGCCAAACCCATCTCAAATCTACTACAGAACATTGTTAGAAACATGTTACTAACAAAACCCATGTAACAAAACAATCATTTTATGAACAATCCAAATAAAGAAAAAGTCCCTAATTAAATTAAACTTAAATAGAAAAAAACCAATCAATCCAAAAAAGAGAGGGACGAAAAAAAAAATAGCCATTGTTTCAAAGGAAGCAATACCAATTCCTTGCCAAGCTCAATAGCAGCATCTTGGTAGCTACTCTTTTTGCCTTGGCTACTCCCACAGAACACACAAATCCTCTTGAATTTTGATTGCTTTATTTCACTCTCTCTCTCCATTTCTTTCTATATATTTTGTCTCTTATGTGTTTTTTTTTCAAATTGGAAACAGCTTAGAAAAAGGAAGAATCTGCTTCTCTCTCTCTCTCTCTCTCTCTCCGTATATACGCTTGCCAAATATAACCTACATGGCTATATATATTGTATGAGACACAGAATAGTATATGTATCGACTGACTAGTAGTCGTCCCATTTGCTTTACCATTCCCGAGTGCGTCCTCACCACCATGCGTGTATATATAACCGTTATCGCACGTGTGTACTCTAATCACGCTCACACGCTTTAGCACGGGTGGAGCACACACACGCATACACCGTACTGTGAATTTGTGTGGTCTTCTGGGTGCTGACGCTTCTTAATGGGTGTAGTTTTACTGAAATATTGTAAGATGGTAGAACTGAGGTTAGGGTTCAAATAAATGGTGATAACGATGTGAAAACATAATCACACATTAAATACAAAATGATGATGTGATTTCGCTTTAACACAAGTCGGCTTAGGATAACAATAACTTCTCCAATTATAACGGTAAACCCATTTTACAACCTTAAAAAATAATTTTTTTTTTTGATCTATTTATTTATCATTTTTATTTTAAAAATAATTACACTTACCTTCTTTATAGATTGTTTAAATAACATATATCATTTCTTTAATTTTAAATATAACACTAACTTCCCTTCTGTGTCAAGTCTGAATAATACTGACCTCTTCTGTCATAAAATCCGCCCTTAGTAAGTTTAAAAATAATATACTATCCATATGTTTAACTAATAAAAGTAGAATAGCTATAATATTCAATTAACATATTCGGATCAAAAAGCACTAACATCACAGGGATGTTAGTGCTATTTTTTGAAATCATAGAAGAAGTTAATTAGGCAATTTATAAGGAAGGTATGTGCAATTATTCTTTTATTTTATTTATCTTGACATAAACTTACACACTTATTTTGTCTTTATGAAAATTGACCCTCTATTTTAAAAGTTGAGTAAAATTCCATTAGAACTATATTATTACTTTTGGTCTCTAAATGTTTAAGAACGTCTTTGATGGACCGGACAAATTCCCCAGCATACAAAAATCTAAATTCCTAGTAAAATCACAAGACCCTGAAACGGAACATCCTGAAGTTCCATATAACTATACAATACAAAGATAAATTGAGAATTTCAAAGGAATCATCACCTAACACATACTGAGAATTGATGATTGAATAAACATGTGGGTAATGGCCTATTGGTATCACCTTTTACCCTCATCTACGCTCCATCAGTCGACATACTTGTTTAATCCAAAAACCGTTCATACTACTAGACAGGTGCACGAGACTAGTCATTCTAGGCAGGACAAAAACCACATGAATAATATTAATGTGAAAAATGGGCGTTTTATTCATTAACTTGAGACCTCATCCAATAGCTTATACCTTCTCACCTTATTTCTAAAAACTTTTGTGATCCCACCATTTGCTATCTCCTCTGACTTAGTCCTCCTCAGTCTCTCCTCCACACCGCCGCCGGCGGTGGTGGTGACCCTTTTCCGGGCTGACGACAAAGGCGATTTCTCCGGGGACCTTTGTTTCTTGATGGGGCTGTTGAATTGCAACTGCAAAGTCCCTCTTTGACCCTTTAGCCCTCCATGATTGCCACTAATCTTTTTCTCGTCCTACAGCCATGACACAAAGCCATTTCACTCCCCCCACCAAACCCACACCCAAACCCAAAACTAGGGGTGCACACGGTTCAATTTGAACCGGATTGAAAGTTTTTTCAGATCAAACCATTTATAACGGTTCTATTATTTTTTAAACCAGATCGAATCATAATGTCCATGAAACCAAACTACGAAAAATCGATTTTAGTTGATTTCCTTTTTATTTTATTTTTTAAAAACAAATTTTTTTATTTTTTCCTCAATATAATACATCAACAGGGAACCGACAATTCAGTATATATATTTACTATATACTACTCTTCCACTTTAGTGTTTAAAGAACCAATAATCTCTTCGGGTCCCTAATGGTTATGCTTTATTTTTGCACCATTTGGTCTCTGATGATAAAGTTTTTATTGTTTGGTAATTTTCATATGATGTTTTTCTTATTATGACTCATCATTTCGTTTTCTTTATTTCTCTCTTTGCTAGCTTTCATCATGGCTGAGAAAAATTCAAATAATATGTCCAGTCAAAACTATAAGTTATATATATATATATATATAACGGTTCGGTCCGGATTGGACCGGTCCAGCAAGACCTCAAATCAGGACCAAACCGTAAAATTACGATTTCATAATTTTGAGCCCAAGACCGAACCAAACCCCCGTCTAATTTAGCTCGGTCCGGTTCAATTTTTTGAACAGCCCTACCACAAACCACCCAAATTCTTTTTACCAGGCCTTTATGGTTTTCTAACTTCTCTTCACATAATTTTAGATGCAGTTTTGATGAGACTGGTTTAATTCGACGCGACAATCAGTAAACTTAAGAATATAAAAAATTACGTTAATAAGAAGGAAGGGAAGCTAAGTTTAAGTACCGATCTCCTTCCGTGGTATATCTATGCTCCGTTTGGAAGCATGAACTATGAATTGAAGTAAAATTAAATTAAACTATGAACTAATAATTAAGGTCCACAATTCTAACTTCAAGTAGTGAATTCCAGTGTATTTGTTGTTCATTTATGTTTGGAGTATAGGCAAGGAAATGTAAAATGTACTTTTTGCCAAGCCCTTGATATCTTGAACTAAAAAGATGGATATTAGTTTTGTCAAATTAATAGATATAAATATGAGCATTTAATCGAGGTTTTGTAATTGAAATTAAAATTTAAAAGAAATTTAACAGAAAATAACTTCGTATTTTTTTTATCAATAGACATCGAGTGTAGGAGTCTCGTTACATAGACATAAAGACACCCATATTTTAGTAGAGCTTCTTCTGAAAGTAAATAAACTTTGAAAACGTTAATTGAATAGTGCAACACGTGTCCTACTATTGGTAGTTAGGGGTTAGTGGGGATTGTATGAACAGTGTCATGGATATTGAAACGCCGATGCTATCTCAGGGTCTAGTAGGACCCACCTTGGAAATTTTCATTTGTATACAGTAATATGAAAAATGATAAATAGAAAACAATAATGTTTGTGTCCAAGATGAACTTCATTCAACTTAAAGGTATGATCTAATAATATTATAATAGGTGTTTAAAATTAAATAAAAAATAAATAAAATTAATTGGGCATTGCCTATCTATTTGGGAGTATAACCCATATTTTTATTTTATCTTATTTATTTATTTCCTTTGCATTGCTGCCTTCTTCCTCCTCTCCGTCACCAATGACCGGACAACTCTGGCTCACGACAATCTAAATCCTTCTAAGTCTCTTCAATTCCGCCGCCGCCTTCGGCCTCCTAGATCGACCGCCAAAACCCTAATTGCTTTCTATATATATGAGTGTATATGTGTGTGTGTAGTGTGCATGAATTAGGGGTTTAGGGTTAATGTTAGGTTTTTCAGATCAAGGATATGGCGTGGAGGCCGAGGTCGTTGGCGATGGCAAAGTTGAAAGAACGGACGGAGGAGTCGAGGCAAAGGATGAACTACCAGGGGCGCCAGTGGTGGTGGTGGTGGCACCATCGATTAAGGCGGTGGTCATTGATTCGCCGAAATACATGGTGGTGGTGGTTGTGGGGGGATGGTGGTGATGCCGCCGCCGGTTGTGGTGGTATTAGTGGGAACATTTACAAAAAAATAAATAAATAAATAAATAAAGACCCATTATCAAGTGGTCTTTGGTGGAAAGAGGAAAAAAAAAAAACTCACACTAATAGATTAAACCCGAATAATTAGGCAATATCCAACTTAAACTTAACTTTTGATTTTGAACACGGGTTGCAATTCTATTAGGTCAGGTTGGATGAACAACCTGAATAGAAAAAATCTTGAAACGAAAAATAAAGAGGAAATCCAAAAGAAAGATAATAGCAAAATATTTTCAGTTACATCTCCAACTCATGGGTATTCCTTCGTCCCTGAATTAATTCTTTGTTTATTTACTCAGCAGAGTCTGAAGTTGGGAAGTTTTTCAGCATTGGAAGAATTGAAATTTGTGAGTTTAATATTGGAACTAATTTGAAGAAAATGAAGAATTTTTCTGGTGGCAACGAATTTAATGCATATTGATGGGGAAAAATAACCTACCTTAACCAGCCGTCAGACCTCTTCGACATATTTCGTTATCAGTGATAAAGATTTCTATCGGATAAGAGTGATAAAGATTTCTATCGGATAAGAATGATGACATTTCTTATCCAGAATAATGAATGATTATGAATGATTGGGATATTCTTTGCTGTCTGAGAACTTGTTGAATAATTTAATGACAAAATGGCCAATTAGCAATGGACCTCCGTTGCCCAATAAAGCATTTCTCTATTTGATACTTATTGGGGATAAACGGTATTTGACGTGGTTCAACATGAGTAAATCATATCCCCGACAAATATGGCAACAAACGATCTTCTCGATCTCGCACAAGCGGATCTCTCACGGGACCAATTTAATTCCAATCGACAGTCATAAATAGGGCACCAAGCCGTTAAAGAAGATACGAGAAAAAACCCTTAAACAAAATTTACATAATTATTATGTGATATGATTACAAGTACTAACTTGATCGTCGAAGGGTACTCGGCTGGCACCCCACCGGTGCCATTCGAGGTGATGTCCTTTTGTTTTGTAGGTAAATACTGTTGTTCCGAGTCGTGAGGATTTTCGCATCAACACATATAAATTGGAGAATTATAAGAATTCTTTTTATTTTATTTTCTTATAGATTGTATATCGGCCTCACAATACACGCATTATTCAAGTCAGGAGTGCGATTCGAAAGCGAGATCTTAATGGCTTACCTTTTGGACAGTGACGGATCCAGAAAATTTTATGAGAGGGGCGGCTACTTTTTAATTTGTGGATACAAAATTACAATGATCAATAAGGTTTTTTTTCATAAATTAAAAAAAAATTAAGTATAAAATGAAAAAAAAAAATTAGTGGGGCAAATTATAATTCTAGTAGGGGCATCTTCATAAATTATCAAAATTTGAAGTATAAAATCCTAAAAAAAAGAATCCAGTGAGGACGAATTGTAATTTTGAGGGGGCTTTTTCATAAATTTTAAATAAATTAAGATATA